ACGGTATCCTTTCTGCTTTGATTGGATTTCGCCTTGAACATAATGAAAATTACAATTAAGCTGAAATTATATGCTAGCATCAGATTCCTGAAAGTCTTCCAATTAAGCCTGTGCTTACCTTCATAATTATCAGCCTCGTCTAAAAGATAATTGTGGCACTAGAGAAGAGTTATTGCACACTTTGTAGAAGAGTTCACTGATACTTAACAAAAAAAAAACCCTTTTTTTGAGATTAGTTAGTGGGAGAAATTTGTTATTTGGAAGAGAAATGTTTTATTTTGAAAAGAAATTTTCCAAAACCAATTTCAGCAAAAGGAATATTTTCTTAAAAAAGATCAACTAAACTAATCAGATATTTAGAGGCTAATGAATTAATGTATGTTAGATTTAGATGTTTAGATTTTTCCATGAAAAATGTGTTATTCTTTAGCCATTTTCTTTCTGTGCATAATGTAACATTAAGGAGCTTCTCTTATGTACGAACTCAGTTGCTAAATTTAGCGTTAGCCAGAAATAAACTTCATATAACAATATCGAATTTCTCCCGCATCTCACGTTTTTACATTCAACTTTCCAGGATTCATTTAAGGAAGTGAAGAGGGATAACAAGAGGGGGAAGAAGTCGGGATAAATCGGGAGTAAAACGCATGCCAAGGCACGTTAAGTTGCCCACTCGAGTCCCATCAGGAAAAATTCCTCCTCCGTCGTCTTCAGTGGCTCTCGTTTTTCCTCCCCGGCAACGGGGGCGTGGCACGTCGACGGGGGCGGGAACGGAAAGGGTAAATCCGGAGACGGCGGAGGTGAACGCTATAAGTTTGGCCCAAGTTTCATTCAACTTTTGCGCAGACTTCTTGGCCCTCAAGGCAAATAATCTGGCCAAGAACAAACAGTATGTTGCTATGATGCCACCTGCCATTGTGGTTTTTTTTTTTTGTATTTTTGGATTCAGCGAGTGTGTGGGATGTGTTTGTCAATTAAATGTGTGCTTGGGGTGGCTGACTGAACATTGTGATTGTTATTATTGGATTGCCTGCTATATCAGCGCCGCCAGACCCCCCAATTGGATTCTAATTGGATGTGGGAATATACAGAAAGTGGGGTGTTGAAAAAAGCGGGCGGTCGGTATGAACAGCTGGGCTTTTGACCCTGAAACACCGGGCGACCAGTTCGATTTTTGTGCTTTTTGCTTGTGTTTTTTGGTTTCAGTTTCAGTACACATACATATATGCAGTAGTATGATATATAAAAAAAACAAGAAACATACGAATCTCCCCAATTATGACTCATAATCACCCCTAAATTTCACATGCCAGCAAAAAATATGAAATGAAATGTGAAATATTTCCTTTTTATTTTTTGCTAGCCATCCAAATTTCTTTGAAGCACGCACTATGGGTTATTTATTGTCCAAATAAAGGAAACGAAAAAAATACCAGGAGAAAGTTGAATATTTATTGCTTTTATTGAGTTTTCCTGATATGCAAATTGGACACTTGAAGGACACTATTACCTACTTTTAAAGGTTTCTGGGAAAAAATAAAAGAAAAACTAAAATAATATTATTTCAAACTATTTTATTACTGTTGCTACACCTACGTAAGGTGTAGTTGTTTATATTTAGTTTACCAAGGGCAAGTAGATTATTTATTTATTTTTAAGGATCGCAAATTGGATACTAAAGCATTAATTGCTACTGTGATAGTTATTCCTCCACCATGGAAATCACTATTCACAAGGACAATCCAACAATTAATATAAATTATTGAGTATTTTCCGTATGCAAATTAGACAATTGAAGGTCCTGGGATAATTTCGTTGATTTTCACGTGTTCCCTGAAGAAAAATGATAAACAATGTTAAATAACCCTATGAAACAGTAGGTGCCCTTGAGGTGATTAAAAAGTTTTGATATGCAAATTGGAAAATAGCTTTTACTGGCTTCTAGAGCCAGGCAATAAATGGTACCTACTTTAAAGCGTATGTAGGAATTTTTCAATACTAAAAAGAAATTGTATTTAAAGTTATATTTAGGCACTTTAACAGTTTTTATCTGGTTCGAAAAGAAAAGGTAAATATTATTATTATGTCTGAAAGGCAAACTTTAAAGTCCTCATTGAAGGAAAAAAAAAGTATTGCCTACTTTGCAGCATCAGCATCCATAGAAATTGTGCAACTCTAAAAGCAACGGTACTTTAAGGTGAATTCATGTGTGTGTGTTGGGATCAAAGTGAAAGTGCACATGAAAACAAACTGAAAGGCAATACAAAAGCATGAAAATTAACAAAAAGGAGGCGAAGGAAGAAAAATAAGGAGGCAAAAATGAAGAAGGAGGAGCAGAAGATGAAAGGAAGTTGTTTATATGGCAATGTACGTGGACGTGTGCGTGGTGCCTGCATTTCTGCTCCTTCATTTTTGTGTGTGTGTGTGTATGATTCGATGATGCAATCTTTGGAAGAAGAAGAGCTCTCAGAAAAGAGGGCGGAAAAATTCACCCAACTTAATTGAAAATGTTGCCAATTAGAGCTTTAACAGGAATTTATTGAGCCAATACGGCGAAACAATGGGAAAAGGCAGAAATGAGCGAGAAGCAAAGGAGAAACGACAATATTTTTTAAACAAACTGCGAAAAGAACTTTTAATTAAATTTTCCACAAACGTGGTGGTCTCTCTGTGTGTGTGTGTGTGTTTATATTGGTTGTGATTGTGCGTTTAATTAAAGTGCATTTGTTGTTGGTTTTTCCGCACTTTCTGTTGGTTATTTTTCTTTCCCACTGCTTGCTGACCTTAATCTGCTTGCTGCATTGCTTTTGGGGCCAATAAACTAAATAATGATGGCATGGATGATATATACCCCAAAAGCTAATACGGTGAGAAAGAGGAGCCAAAACCAACAAGCACCCAACCACCCTCCCACGACCCCTTTTCTCTTGCTCTCTTTCTCTCTCTCACACTGTCTGTATATATACCATCTATATACCATATCCATCTCTCTCTCTCTGGGAAATCACATTTCACCTTTGAGTGAAGCCAAGTTTTCCACTTGTTGTTTTTGCTGTATCTCAATGTGCCATCGACGAAAAATGCCGCAATGAAATTTGCTCAACATTTGCCCAACTGGGTGAAGGTTGTCGTGGAATTTGCCCCACCCCACCCACTTTTACTCAGTCTCAACCGCCCCAGTTGAATGTTGTCGCATTTTTTTTTTAGCTACTCTACCCGGCGACTTTGCAACTTAAGCAGTGCTGTGTGGTCATCTAAAAAACATATGTGATTTACCTTTTTAGCACCTACATACATTGTTTAGTTCAAAATTTGTATCAAATCACCTTAAAAGAATCTTAGCCATTTAAACACTTACAGATTTAGTGAATTGCCTAGAATTACCATTATATAAAAGGCCTTCTTCATAGACAATTTGAACAACTTTTTCATGGTTTTATTTAGTTTAAAGGAATCTTTCTCTGCGACACAGTTCCGATTATTCGGTGTAGTTATGATTAAAAGAGATTCCTGTGATTAAAAGTATAAAGTTTCGACATTTTCCGAGAAATACCTATGATCTTTTACGTCCCCTTTGCAATGGACAAACAGAACTCTGAAACCAGAGCAATTCATGGCATTGCGTGTTAATTAATGAATGCAAAGCCTTTTAGCCGGAGCTCGTGCCATGTGCAGGCCAACTTGGTTTATTGCAGAAGGTTTCCCTGGAAACTGCCCCTGTGCGTGGCCCACTCATGTGTATATATGTCCGTATCTCCGGTGACTTTCCCCCCTTTTTGCTGCCCCCTGCACAGAAGTGCAATATTCCTGAGTAAACTACAGGTTGTGGGAGGTAGGTTAGAAAGTTTCATAAAGAGTGAGAGAGAAATGGCACTTAAAATATTCGTCGCAACTTGGAATGCCATATCAAAACTACAGCACTTCTGGGAAATTTCACCTGTCGAAACTGCATATTAAGCAAAAATGTCAATTGCTTCAAATTGGTTCTCAGGAAAATATCATTTAAAACTTCTAGGAAAACGGCATTAAATTTGTCTAATTGATTACTTATAGCTCATAGACGTTATTGCTACCTGAAATCATGCCTTGTCGTGTCAATTAGTAAATGAAGGCAATACCTAATGGGGAAACTAATAAACAAAACTATTGGTTAATAAAATCAGACAAATAATTATTGAAAGGGCGGGGAAATCATTAGTGAAAGCATTGTTATACCCGTTACTCGTAGAGTAAAAGGGTATATTGTATTCGTGCAAAAGTATGTAACAGCTAGAAGGAAGCGTTTCCGACCCTATAAAGTATATATATTCTTGATCAGGGTCACTAGCCGAGTCGATATAGCCATGTCCGTCTGTCCGTCTGTCTGTCCGTCTGTCCGTCTGTCCGTCTGTCCGTCTGTCTGTCCGTCTGTCTGTCCGTATGAACGCTGAGATCTCGGAAACTATAAAAGCTAGAAGATTGGCATTTTGCATGCAGATTCTAGGAGTTCCTACGCAGCGCAAGTTTGTTTCAAAAAGGTGCCACGCCCCCTTTAACGCCCACAATCGCTTATATACGATTTTAAAAATTTAAATATTTCGGAAAAGTAAAAATGCAGTTTTATTGTGTTTATCAATACATATCGAAATGTAGAAGAACTTTTTCAAGTCAGACCATTCGTTAAAAAGTTATGCGTGATCAAAGTTTCTATCTCCATCTCCCTCGCACTCCCTTTACCTGAGTAACGGGTATCTGATAGTCAGGGCACCCGACTATAGCGTTCTCTCTTGTTTTGTACTTAAGTTTTACTCTCATAAATACTAAATTTAATTTAAAAAGATTTGTAAATGGGGAAAAGCTAAGACCTAAAGATAAGTTGGGCGATACTAAATTACAAGCCTGAAATATTTATACCTGTTGCATTAAATCAGCAAATATGACAAACCATAAGTTTTTATAAAAATCAATGTATTCAATTAAAGTTGGCAAATCATTAACCAACCAATTTTTTACTATTCCAGGGCGGCTATCCGGCGCGTCTGAAGAAGGTCTTGATCGTGACGGCGCCGCTGTGGTTCAAGGCCCCCTTCAAGATCCTGCGTTTGTTTGTGCGCGAGAAGCTGCGCGAGCGAGTGTTCACTGTATCGGTGCCACAGTTGGCGTTGCACGTGCCGCGCAAGGCGCTGCCCATTCATCTGGGTGGCACGCTGGAGGTCGATCACGCCACATGGTTGCTCAGCTGCCGCCAATCGATGACGAATCGTGAGGACGAGCTGCTGGCCAATATCGTGGGTGTGGGAGGATCCGGTGGTTCTGCAACTGGATCGGCAGTGGCCACCAATGGCACGGAAATAGAGGCCGCCACAACAGGGGCCACGATAATCAGCGCCGTCCACCAGCTGGGCGATAACAATACCACCGTGGTGACGGTCAGCAATGGCGTGGGTCCAGCTGGATCTTCAGTGGGATCAGGAGGAGCAGCTGCCGCCGCGACAGCTGTGAGCTGTGGTGTCGAGCCCAACGAAAACATCACAATCAACGGACTGAGTCCCAGCCACCGGAGCAGCAGCAGTACGGCCACGTCGGCCAATCCCCTCAAGCTCAACACGAGTGGTTCGGCGGATAACAACAGCAGCAGCAACAACACAACCACCACCACCAACAACGCCACCACAGTTGCAGGAGCAGCTGGAGCAGCAGCAGCTGCTGGCACCACCACCACCAACGGAGGCGGCGAATTCTGGTCAGAGAATCCGCCCAGCAGCGCTTCGTCCGGCTTCAGCGACGACGACAGTCTGGCCGGTCAGGAGGGAGATCCCAAGCCCATCGATCAGATTGTGCAGATGGTAAAGCAACGCGGACGGCATGGGCTGATCAAAGAATATGCGGACATCCGGAATAGGGCGCCCGAGGGCACCTTCCTGCATGCGAGGTGGGTGAATCAAATCGTGTTATGTACCTCTGAATGTTTTGTAATTTCCAATCTTTAACTCCTGCAGGATGCGATCCAATCTGACCAAGAATCGCTACACAGACGTCCTCTGCTACGATCACAGTCGAGTGGTGCTGGCAAACGAAGACGGCGAAGAGCCGTCGGATTACATAAATGCGAATTTCGTCGATGGCTACAAACAAAAGAATGCCTATATTTCAACTCAAGGTGGGGATAGAGTGCGCTCTAAATCTATATCAATATATATATGGACGGTAAACTAACGGAGATCTCCTTGCAGGTCCATTACCAAAGACATCCCAGGACTTTTGGCGCATGATCTGGGAGCAACATTGTTTAGTTATAGTAATGACGACGCGCGTAATGGAGCGCGGACGCGTGAAATGCGGCCAGTACTGGGAGCCGACTGAAGAAAGTTCCTTAGAGTTTGGCGACTACCATGTGCGAACAATTAGCGTTGAGTGCAACGAGGACTATATGGTTGCCTCGTTGGAATTGAGAAATATAAAGGCAAGCGATTCGAATTGAGAAACCAATAGATTATTTTAATAATAATTGTACTGTATCCTTAAACAGACTGACGAAATTCGCAATGTCTCACATTGGCAGTTCACCAGCTGGCCGGACTACGGCGTTCCCAGCTCGGCCATGGCCATGCTGAACTTCCTGCAAAAGGTGCGGGAAAAGCAGGCGCAGCTCGTCAACGGACTGGGCGACACCTGGGCGGGCCACGCCCGCGGACCGCCCATCGTGGTGCACTGCAGTGCAGGCATTGGACGCACAGGTGAGTGGATTTACCATTCCTTACCTAAGATTTACTAACCAAGTGTCTGATGACTGGCAGGCACATTCATCACTCTGGACATTTGCATATCGCGCCTGGAGGATGTGGGCACGGCGGACATACGCGGCACCGTGGAGAAGATCCGGTCACAGCGCGCCTACTCCATCCAGATGCCGGATCAGTATGTGTTCTGCCACCTGGCCCTCATCGAGTACGCCTATTCGCGCGGAATGCTGCAGACTGTCGATCTGGCCGGCTTCGATGAGCGCGAACAGGACTCGGAGTAGGCCTAACAGCTAGACGGAACGGAACGGAGCAGAACAGAAAAGAACAGAGAAGGGGGAACCGGACGAGAAAACAAATTGTATACAGAATAGTTTTATGTTTTACCTTTGCAAATTGGAGTTGTAACTTTTTTCGACTAGATGTTCGTCCTGAAATGATGTGTTATATGAATATATGATACGAGAGAACCGATGGGAAACACAGATAGGATTCCGAGATACGGACGAGAGATATGGAAGTGTAGAGAGTAGAGTAACCAATTTACGTTAATCTATTATTTTTTTTTAAATATTATTACATACCATGCTATAGTTGTATAGCAAAAACATCTATATATAAACATTATTTAAATTAAATTTAAACTAAATGAAAAACAAATAGCTAAAAATAAAGAAGAAACAAAAACAAAACCAGCAGCATTAGCAAACGAGCGACAAGCGAAACAAAAGCAAAACAAATAAATTAACAGCGAAGAGTGTTTAACCATGACAAAGTTAACTAGAGTCCGATTAAGAACGGAGTACAACGAAGGCATAGGATGAGAATGAGGATGAGGACGAGCGGGACTGGAAGTCACTCCAGGCGAGCAAAGCAAACGAACCGTCCGACGGAGAGTCAGGATCAGAGGCGGACCCGAGGAGCGGACAATTCTTGTGCATTTTCCCCATCTTAACCCCAAGTAATCAAGGAGCAGCGAGCTGCGAATTTCCTACAAACAACTACATTACATAACTTATATAGCATATGCCTAGATCTACGTACCGCATATAGGAATATGTATAACGAATATATAAATACCAGAAGAAATCAGAAATCAGATTTAAGCACTGTTCAATGTTGTTGCATACGAAAATAGCCCAAAGAAAGAGAGTCATCTTTACCAGCCTGCCCTCCTGGCCGCATCTTCTCCAGATGTGACCGAAACTGAAGCCCGAAAACCCCCACCCCCTAAAAACTCTCTTCGCCTCCAAGCTGTGTTGAATGTGAATTTTTTGTTGTTATTTTTGTACCCTTTTTTTCTAATTCTTTACAAATATTTACATATAGAGCGAAATTAAATGCATCATGCAGAGAGTCAAGTAGTAAATTTTACTAAAAATTATTTTACCAACTAAACATAAATAGTTGAAAGCTCAGAAAAAGCGAGTATATAAAGAAAAAAAAATAAGAAACTTATATCTAACATGCCTTCTTTCCTACATTTTTCATATGCCAAGCGAATCTAAAAGGTATAATAATCGTAATGAAAATAAATGAAGGAAAACCAAAACATATTTTGTATTACTTTTTTAAATAACAAAAAGATCTATATGAAATAATGAATAAAGTCAAGAATGGCAGCTTTCTCGAACAGAAGTAAACTGAAAATGAAAACGAAATATTAAGTGTAATTATGTGTATGTAATGTCGGACAGAATGCATTTTCTTCGTGCATCTTTGCGAAAGTATTATAAATATTTACATATATAAAGAAATTAAGTGCATATATTGCGACACGTCTGCAAAAAAAGATAAATACGTTTTTTTTTCTCGTCATGTATGCATGTAAATACACCTACAAAATATATAGTATTTTTGGTGCGAATTAAAAAGTTGCCCGCACTGTGCTCCAAACACACACTCCATACACATTACCACTCACACGAATATCATTAGAATTGTAAAAGCTGTGATCAAACCCGAATGAAAGAAGCAAGTCGAAATTGGAGCCACAGATTCTCCATTCACAGCCAGTCAGACCATTAAAGTCACACTCTACATTAATATTTAACCACAGAACAGAACAATTTTCAATTCTTTCAAAGGCCTTTTCCGAGAGAAACAAAGAACAAAAAACGTAACCAGATTGCATAATGAATATTCACCTCCCAGATCGATGGATGCTCTATTTTTATAATGCTTGACACAGAGATCATACTACATATAATCCGAAACCAAAAGCAGAAGCTTGAAGATACCACGAAGATAACTATAAATATTTTTTGTAGGCTCCTGGCTCGGAGTGGTGGAAAGAATTTATTTAAAATATATATATATATCTATGTATTAACACATGTATGAAAACTAGAAAAATTTCTTCAAGTGTAATGTAAAACTTAGCTAGAGTCACAAGCCTTTGTTTTCCGTTCAAATGATGTGTAAAGAAAATTACTTAGTACGAGTACTCGAAATTTTGCATGTGTCACGATGCTTTTAGAAAGCTTTGCTGCGCACAAAAATGCACCGAAAAACCAGTCATCAGATCGATCGATCGATCCATCCCACCCTTAACCAACTCCTGACTAGATCTAACCAATAGCCGCTACTCCCGCATTTGACGCACTTGGATAAGATGCCACTAACCGGGAGACACCTCCACTAATCCAGTAACACAGTAATCTCCACTAACCCAGCTCAAAATCCCGGCGAGACACTGTACATACACGCGGCAGGACACGAGTCCGGCTAACCAGTCCAATGTCCACACCCCAAACATGGAAATCTTTGCCTAGAGAAATGGTCGCATAATATTTAAGGGCATATAAAGTATGTGTTATCATTTCATGAAGACAAACGAGAAACAAAAAATACAACTTGATGTAAAAGCAAATTGCATTTTGCAGTTAAAACCAACCAAAAATAAAAGTAACAAGAAAATTGTGGATAAAATATATAGAAAAAGGAACATCTTTGCTTTAATTAAGAATAATATTGGGAATCTTTTGTTTCAGGATTTGTCCAAATCGGTCAGAAACCAATTTTGTGTTTCCAGTTTAACAATGCAAATATGGAACATAACCAAGCCTACCGATATGGGACTCTGCAAAAAAATCTAGACCATTTTTCGGTTATTTTTATCCAAACCCCGCGAAGTAGTGGATTATAGCCTCCACATAGAACAGAGTCTTGTAAGTGTGCGGCATATTTTGGCCAAGTTACAACAAAAGAATGCTTTAAAATCATGAATTTTTGTTAAATTCCGTAATACCGATTTTCCACAAAAAGGAGTGGATCATTATACCCATGCAGCCTGTATTATAATTTTGGTCAAAAGTTTGCAATGCAGTGAAGGAGACATTTCCGACCCTATAAAGTATATATTCTTGGTCAGCATTAATCGATCAATCGATTCTTTTCCCCATTATATAATAAAAAAACCTCCACAGATTTGCTTTTGAAGTAAAAGGCTCACATTTATTTGTTTATAATTATAGTTAATTTGTTCATAAATACACGCACATTAATAATTCATTAAAAACAATCTTCATTTATTAATAAGGAGTTCAAAAAGCGTTTTTTATCTCTATATCTGTCTCTTTTACTGACACCGTCTTTGTTTGTCGCTCTGTCTCTCTCCATCTCGATTTTCCTTCTCTGTCGCTTTCCGTATTAACTAATGCCAAAAATACATGTAAACAAATCACCATTTAGTTATCTTTTCGTTTCGTTCTCGCTTTCGATCAATTCTAATCCTACAAATTGTTTTTTTTTTGCATTCGTTTGTTTATTATTTAGCTACGTTTTGAATTTTGTATGTTTTTGTTAATATATTTTCGTTAATTGTATGCGCCGAAAGAACCAATAAAGCCGAAGCAACGCACTGGACCAATTTTTAATCGTTGGCAAAACAGCAGCCAATTTGTGTATATATAATATACCATATATACCCGATCGGAGCTGGCACGTGCTGCCTGTCCTGGCCAGAGATTTGGTCAATTGGCAGGCAAGGATGCACAGGGCAACTTCCACACGGATAGTTAAACGGTTTGTAAATTCAAAAACAATTTACATACTTTTTGGGTTAAGGGAGTAAGGAGGGGTAAATATATAGGTATATATATATATATATGCTATAATAACTGACATCCACAATACGCTTATTTGGAATGCACACATTTAGGGAGTGTTTAAATTTGAGTTGGAATTCGAGTTAAGGCTAAGACAACATTATAAGCTAGTTAAGTATTGGCGTAGAGTGGCTCTGCTCTCTTTCTTTGGACCCTGCTAAACTGGATCTGCAGCAGCGATTACGCGTCGAAAATTTCTCTAGAGGCAGTTGGCATCGTTTCGATTGTAAATCAGGCAGAGTCAAGCGAAGGATCCTTAGGCTTAGAAGTTATCCGGGGGCGTGTAGATCTTAGGACTAATGACTGGCGGCGCTGGCAAGCCGTTTTGCTCTTGAGGTAACTTCCATTCAGTGAACGGCAAACGAAGGCGAAGGCAAATTGTCTACGAACTAGTGGGATGCCATGCCTAAAGTAGCGAGTCTGTCTACGGCTAGGCTTTGTTTTTAGGGGGGACGGGTAACCTACGTATATAAATAACTACAGTACAATCCTGGGTCTTGCAGAAATCTCAGAAGACTTAGAAAGTGTTTAGTCGTCTAAACTTCTCACAAAAAATTGCGAATTTAACTATTTGTTTTAAGGATTTCCATAGGAAACCAATTAGACCAAAAGTCGTAGAATATTAAATTGAATAGGGTTTGAATGAAATGTTAAAGACTTTTTCCCTTAACTGCATTGTCCACTTTCAGAGACACCAACTTCCAAGTCCCTGGGATTTCTGCATCACTCCAGAATTCCTAAGCTTAGGCAAGTTATAAAAAACTTCTAAAATCGAAATAAAGCGTTTCGGGGTGTGTGTTCTTGGGTGCAACAAAGTGAGGCTGAGGTGCAATATCACGTGCCTACTCAATGCCGAACGTATTGGTTTCCTCGACGGCCAGCAGCAGCTTCTCGTAGAGCAGCTCGGGCGTGGGATAGGGCGGCAGGTCCAGTCGGTTGAAGCAGGTGTGGGCACGGGGCAGGGCATTGGGCTTGCCCCACTTCTCGATGCAGAAGCGCCGCGGGCCCGTCGAGCCGCGCAGCGCCGAGAAGCCCTCGTAGGGGATGCTCGAGGTGCCAGTCACGAACTGGAGCAGGCGCAGACGCTGCTCGTTGCTGAAGCGCTCGATGACCTGCCAGAACCACACGATCACCTGGTGGTTATCATGGTAGCCGGAACGATACTCGGTATTGAGGCGCCAATCGTTGGTGTCTATTTCGGCAGTGCCGGCAATCACCAGCTCCAATTCCCGGGCATCAAAGACAGAGACCAGACGCGAGTCCACCACCTCGTAGAAGCCGCGCACCAGCGACTCCGTCTGCTCCTGGACGCCGCGCTCCAGTCGCCACTTGATCATGCGCTCCAGGTACTCTTTCTTGTTCTTTTCATTGACGATTATATTCTTGCCGCCCGGCTTCAGTTCCCGCTCCACCACACGTCCCAGCAGCTCCTCTGTGACGCAAAAGGTCAGGCCGAGATCCACGCCGGTGCCGATGTCGTTGTCGCGTATCCACTGCAGCGACTGATGGAACTCATTGTCCAGCGACTCCAAGTCGCTCAGAGCCACGGGCAGACGCAGCAGCGCCTTGTAGAAGGGACGCGTGAAGAAGGCGTCCAGCAGGTACTGGTGTACCAGGGCCAGTCCCAGAACACGGCCACTGAAGCGGAACCAGTCGTGGCAGTTGTCCACGAACGCCGACAGCGGCGACACCTGCACCGTGTACGTGTCGTTGGCGGAGTACTCGAACAGTCCGTAGTATGGGTTGAACAGCTCGCGGGAGAGCAGGAAGAAGAACTCGCGGGAGGGCCCGCCGTAGTCCAGGCCCTCCTCCGTGTCCCAGAGTACGGCGAGGCGGCCGCGCTGTAGGTCCTTCTTGTTGGCGGACATGATGCGACGGAAGGCGTCCTCCAGCAAATGGCTGCGACGGATGTGCAGTCTGTAAAATAGATTCCCAGATTAGTTTTGCTTATACCTGAAGATATTTTCAAGCTTTTTGGACAGTAAAATAAAGAGTTAAATAGTTTTCACTGCCCTTAGTACTTACTTAAGCTTGTGAGGCCCTTGGCCATAGCCCTTGGACTCCAGTTTGCGGTAGAAGCTGCGCAGCTTGGCCTCGAAATCCCTTCGGAACGGTGGCGGCGCCCGCTGTGGCATCCGGGAACTCAGGACCGGCGATCCCTGCGGACTGCGCTCTTCAATAGGAACATAGCTCATGATCTCCTGCTCAAACAGGCTGCGTGGGAGGAGACAGAAGGTGGCGGGAGAATCGTTTAGATACTAGTTAAAATTAGTTGCACTCGGTAAAAGCAATTAACTACGGGGTTGGCCATAAATCTACGGTTAGATCTCTCCGCTATCGGTGCCGTCATATTCGCTCCCATGGCTCATTGATTGCTCATGGCTAATCCGACAATTGATTAGCCCACGCAGCAGAGCACAAGCACATCCGACAGCCCGGAAAGGACGCCCATCCGAATACGGAGTGTGCATAGATAGCGGATAAAGGAGATAAATGCGCTTTGGACTTTGGATGGAACCGTGTGGTCGCACTGTGAGAAAAATGTTTTCTTTCAAATGTTCTAAATAGATCTAGACATGTGTTGACATAACACATACATCTTTAAAAATATCACACTATCTCAAGTTTTTATAGAATTAAAATTATTTTTAATTGTGTAAAATCTTAATTTTATCGTCAATAAAAGCGATCGAAATCTTTATTAAATGAATAGAGCAACTATCAAACTGACATGGAAGCTAATAGTAATTAATTTAAATACGAGAGCTAATTGATCTCTATTGTAAGTAGAAAATTCAAATTAGCTATCCGATTCATAAACACTTGTTCAGACTGAAAATCATACGACTGCAGCTGGCTGATACGTCACTCTGCGACATATAGAACCGATTCTGGATCGATGTTTGGCGGTGATGAAATCAGACCAGAGATGACCAGCGCAAAAGATCAGGAGGGCAAGTGATTTGTCATGGACATTAATATGCGTTTTGAATACATTTTAGAAGAGCAACAAGAGCGAGTCTTTCTTCCGCCCCTTTTCCCCACACCAGCTGGCCACGCCCACCTCTCCCCAAACCAAAAGACCGTCAAAGTTTTCTCACCGTCAGGCGGAAGAATCGCTCGATTTCCAATCAATGCAATCGATTAGGTCAAAGGCGACCTTCGCCCAAAGCCAGAACAGACTTTTCCTTCCAGGTTTTTTTGTTTTGGTTTTGGTTCTTTAGCTTTTTCTTTAGACCAATCTATCGATTGGCTCGGCAATACTAACTATTCCGATTCTAAGTAGTTAATCCATAATTTAAAATTGCTATTTGGTTGCGCCTTTTGCTTTTGCTCTGGCGACCTTCAACTTGAAATTGAAAATTGGCCAATTAATAACGCAAATTATGGCGGTCAACCGCAGTCGTGGTGGGTAGAGGTGCTATATATATATAATTTTGGGGGGGATCGGTTCGTATCGGATCGGATCGAATGGATAGTGACAACAGTTTTGCTTGCAATTATCGCCCGCTCGGAAGTGACTAATTCCCCAATTGGAGCTCCCCTTCTGGGCTCATTAGCAATACTTTTTGGCAGTTTTTAATGGCAGATGGAAATGGAAATGGAAACGGATCAATTAATGGCTAGTCTAATACGAGTGCTACACACATGACGCGTCAAATTACTTTCAAATTGAATGAAATTCTTGCAAATTATTGGAACAACAGGAAGCTGCAATTAACGAGAATTAAACGCAAAATGAAAACCGAACCACCCAAAAAATAAAAGCGTGAAGAACGCAAAAGTGCTTGTGGTTGACACCCAACAAAGAACCACAACCAACGATCGCCATTATGCGGGGCACTGAGCGATAGGCTATGGGCGGCAGGGGGCGTGGCTGGGACGTAGGAATATCCATAAACACTCGATGCAATCGTTCTACACTGTCGGTCACTGACTTTGCACCGAAAGAAAGTCCACAAAAGTGAGGAAATGCTGTGGGATTGGCTGTGATAATGGCGAGTGGCACTCCAATTGGGCATTATAAAAATTATGACTATTTCTCAAACTATACCTATACTATATCCTTTCTCAAAATTATATAGCAAAACATACACCTTCTCAAGAAAATTGCATTACTAATTTTAAATTGGTCTTTTCAGTTAGCTTGATATTAGTAACCTATAGATATTTATCAAAGAATTTTGTAACTTTATCCATGACAAGAGGTCAATTAGTTTGAAAATAGGGAAATCAAATATTATATATCCTTCTATAATACAAATAGATTAAGTCAAAACTCAGTTGGCCAAATCGTTTAATATCGCCGCTACAGGATAAAGTTCAATGACTAAATAAAGCTAAAGTACATATCCAAAACCGATGTTATCATCGACATGTCTCTTGGTCCCACTCTTCTTATGAAATATTAAAAAAATATGTGAATCTATTTTAAAGGAAACATTATTTTGAGCTCAAATTACAAGTCCCCCAATCTGCAAAAATAATTGGCATTATGCGGGAACGCAAAAGCTGTCGGTGATCTCTCCCATTCATATTTTATTATAGTTGCCACTCCACTTTCCATTCCATCATGCCGTACTTCCCTTACACACTCCTCTTTTGCACATTTTATTAACAATTTATGAATGCACCGCCACCGACACCGATTCTACCCACATTGTACATTTCGCCCTGCGACAACTTCAGAAATTATTCGCTAAATATTTGGAATTGCCGCGAGCTTTACGAGACGCACTCATGAAATATGATATGAAAGGGAAGCGCTTTTATGCTGGTCGAGACAGTAAAACCACATTTAAATATATTAGCGCAAGAACAAGAATCTGTGGCGACTCACGTACTTCTCCCACATGTGGAAGGTGTAGACGAACTTGGAAAAAAGACCCATTTGATGGGCTGTAAATCCGAAATGGATTCTCAATTAGCAGTACACTAAATCCACATAAAGCAAAACACCGACAAAAAAAAATAAAACTCCAATCACAAACGAAAACTTTGGTAAAATCGATTCCCAATTCAACTGAAGCAGGCAGTCGACTGATTTTGGTTCTCCATTCGGTTCGGTTTGGTTCGATTCCAAGCTGCACCACCAGATATGTGGATGCAATGGGGGGCAGAGAGAAGGGGCGAGAGATACCACGATAAGCTGATAAGGAAGGCGGCGATAATGGAGCCTTAACCCATTTAGGTTTTCGGGTGCCTATGGGTGTTTGTTTCGGGGCTATGAATATATCTACGGGTTTGTGGTTTCCGTAACGAATAAAAGCAAGCGAAAGTACCAGACTGATCGAATATTTATTTTTTGAGAGGTTATTCTTTGGGTCGCATAAATTATATATATAATAAGTAATTTCTAAGGACACAAAAATTTAAAATATATTTAATCGATATTTGACAAGTTGTTTAGTTCTTTAAAAAGTTTTACAGGTTTATTTTCATAAGACTGTTGAAATCATATTTTATAAACCAAAATACCAAACATTGAAAAAGTAACAGGGTTTTCTAGAAGTTTTTAACAAACCTTTCCCGAGAAAAGCTTTATATAAATATTTTCGTTAATAAATTTCAAGAAGCAACATGTAACAGAAATTAAACTCAAGAGTTTTAAACCCTATATAAAGGGTTTATGTTTTCAATCTGTTTTGGTTTTAGTACTCACTTGAAACTTAAACAAAACTCTTAGGCAAGCGAAATCTAATCCGAAATCGTTAAATTAGTTACAACACTGCCCCATTAACCGATTGGCCAACCAACAAATTAGAAAATCTATGCCTGATAAGCTATAAACTATGTCCGCAACCCAACACAGTAATTGTGTAACATAAACAAACCACTTGAACCGACCATATATCCTTGAGGTTTGGAGATCACATAACATGGAACTCTGCAATTGAACACGCGACATAATAGATCCAAAATACCGACTAAAAAATGTGATGGGTTCCCACATTCCCGAGACAAATTACTCATAATTTGTGCGAACTGTTTACGCGGCATTCCACAGCATTCCTGCAACCCGAAAGCACTGGAGTTTCATCCAGATCGGAACGCTGTAACGTGGGAAAGGAATGGGAGCCGGCATCTGGAACCCGATCTCCACGGATAGAAAAGTGCAGTGCCGGCGGAATGGAAATCAACAAAATCGGATGCATCCGGGGACAGGATGTGATCTCGTTTTTTGCATGCGCTGCATTTCTGCGATGCAATTTTATTGTGGGAAGTGCTTGGGAAATGGGAGACTGGGCAATAGATGAGTAAACAGATCTCGAATGACTCAAAAACAGAATATAGAATATTTTGTAATAACAAATATAAGTTTGTTTGGACATCAATTAAATTCTAATATTAACTAATGATAAACTCTTTTTTTCTCTTTCTCTACTAAACAAAACACCTACAACTTTTAAAGAAATGATTACTATCTATTAAAATGGAAAATAATTCAAAACAAACCCTTTTCCTTCAGTGATTAAAATATATGTTTAACCCAGAAAAAATATATAAATTTCTTGATTTAAAATGTAAAGTATTCCCATTAAAATTAATATGACTAGTATATTATATGATCATCCCATTAAACCGTATAAATATCCTTGCTAATATCCCTAGAAAGTCTTAAGAATAAAAGCAAATTCATTTAGTTAATATATTCCGAATTATTTAAAGTTTCTAGTTTGCGATGTTTACTTAGTAATATAATAATAAATAATATAGTATGTCCTGTTAGCATTGCCATTAATTTTAAATTTTCATATAACTTGTTTATGCGGTTAATATTTATAAAATTTTGGGGGTTCCTTAATAACTTTTTATGAAATAAAAAAAGTTCCCAAAGTTTATCGCCTGATAATCTAAGGGTACTTCACCTCGATACCAATGACTAAACTAAACGAGAGCGGGGTCACTAAGCCCTTGCCCAGGGGACTTTTTGGATGGTATTTAAGGGTTGATTACTAAATGATCTACTTACACGGCCCACACAATGTAGGCAGCCTTCGATAGAAAGCCCATTTTTGTTGTGCGCCCAAAGCCTTAAGCACCAAATGGTTAACCATCACTGAGATCACCAGAGATCGATCCTCTCGGAAAGGATATTTCGCCAACCGCTTTTGAAGGGCGCGAAACGGTTAACGAGGGTTCGAGAATCGGGTAGTATCGGTTGGTTAGCGGTTAAACGGTAAACGGGACGATGTGTGCTCACGCTGCGGCTG